TTTTTTTTTTTTTTTTTTTTTTTTTTTTTTTGCTTTTAATTAACAAAAGAGAAATCTCATTGGAACCGTTGTTACATGTTAGAATTTTAAATCATAATAGTTAAGGTTTCTGAAGAAAAAAAGCTGAAAAAATGATTTTAACTGAAATTGAACATAAAATGTAATTACTGACAATCTTATAAGTTATTAAAAATCTGTTGCACTTATAAAACTTTTCTATAAAACCATTTTTATATATTTATTTTTGTCAGCAACTTGTTGAAATTTTAAATATAGTCTTGTAGTAACACGTGAAATTATTTAAAAATAAATACTAACTGCATTACAAATATTCTTCTTTTACGACAAAGCTTAAAGTTTGGATAATTACAGGTAAGGATGCGATAAGATGCAGTAATTTCTAAAAAGCTACAAAATTTTTAATTAAAGTATCGTGTTTTTTACAATAAAACTTCTTCTCTACTAAATACTGCGAGAACCCTAAACTTTCGTAGCGTTTGATTGAATTTCTTTTCAATTCAGACTGCGAAAAGTTAAAAAAGCTAGTAGTCAAAATACTTTTTAACTTAGAAGACTTGATAAACCACACGGGAAAAGGTATTTAAGAATAAGTCATTGACAAAAAACTTCTTGATTTTTTGCCTCGTGAAGGGAAAGAAGCAAACAAAACTAAATTGTAAAAATTATTTATTGAATTCATTCTAATTTTTTAGAAAAATTGAGAACAGGATTAAAAAATATGTCACAGACAAATCTTTGCAGTTACCCCAACTTAGATGCTTATCAGTTTCTTTTGACATAAAGAAAAGGGGAGTAAGAGAAGTAGCTAGCAAAGAAACACATCATTTTTTTTATCATTCTGAACGTTACACACATGCACAAATGTTTAACACTACACGCGTATAATGCTAAAATTGAATTATGCTGCAGTATTTTGAAGGAGAATCCAAAAAATGAAAGATTACCATGGCAAGCACGCTTGTAGGAGCAAAAGTAACACGTGTATCTATCACACACAACCTACTGCAAATTTTAATACAAAAATATCGTCATACTTGAGCGTTACAAACTTATAGACAATTCAACACAAATTGGCTAGAGTTAACTGAATCAGAAGCCTAATACTTTTGTGAAAACCTCCAAAAAAATTTATAACTACTCTAGCTTCTCTGATTTATCTGCACGACTTTCTAAATTTACGACAAACAAAGCAACAACAGTAGAGGAGTTTTTCAAACTGAAGCCTGATAATTGCGCCATCTTTTAATACTGATAAAAAAACATAAACTGAACTAAAAAAATTATCAAACCTTTCTTTTTCTTCAGCATTCTTTGAACATTTATTTCTGAATTACAGTATGCGCTTTATGTCAAAGTAGGGCTTGAAATGCCTCAGAAGGAGACCATTCAGAATATGCGATTTGAAGAAACAGCACCAGCTTTGGAGATAGCAGTAGCGAAAGCTAAGTCAGAAGGACTTATACCTAATGTCAATTTTACGTAAGCACTGTTGAATAAAATCAACGCCTCCTAAAACTGACAACTATAAAGACGATAGCAATTTAAACAAAAATTGTAAACTGAAATCAAGTTGAATGACTGTAAACAAATAGTTCTGTTAAAAGAATTTTCTGGCTTTTATACAACTAGAATTGCCTATTATTTTAACCAGTTGTTCACTAAATTAATGATTCTAGGTATCTTTACGCAGGTACCTACAGAAAAAACCGTGAAGAAACGGTGGAATCTTTAAAATTGCTGACAGAAGAGAAAGTTAATGTTTTATTTGGTCCAGCCTTTACAGGAGGTAAAAATTTATTTCACATATCTTCAAAAACAATTATGGCAAAAACCTTAATGCCGATAAAGTAATTGTGCTTTGCTTTTGTTGCTTGACAAAATCTTCATTTTTTTTGTCAAAATTCTAATTTTTGTCTTGACATTTTGCTTAACTTATCATTACAAATACTGAGAGAAGCGAAAGTTTAGCAAAAACACTGTTTTAAAATTACAAAATTTGCTCTAAAATAATTAGCAAAAAGGTTAATTTTTTTTGTATTTTTTTTCGATAGGTTATTTTTGAATAGCTAATATTAATTCTGCTGTGTCAGTTTGTTGTAGCTGCCAAATTGGTTGGACCATTTATGGCCTATTATGACGTACCTCAGTTCCTATTTGGACCCTCACCACTGCCAGAATTTGGAGACCCGACTGCAAGTCCACTAACAGCAAGTGTTGTACCCAACGTTTACAAGTAAGTCACACACTTTGTGCTCACCACTGATCTTGCTTCTATCGAGTAAAAACAGACGTTTTGCACAACAACCAGAAACGCCATAATATTTTAGTTATGAGCAGCTCATAAAAACCAGGTTTGTTTTCGTTAAAACTGTTAAAATAATTGTTGTCAATACATCAGTAAATAGTTTACAACAAGCAAACAACTGAGAGCATAAACTTAGAAGATAAAACAAAATTACTTCTTAAGTTGCTTACAAATAAATGATTTTTTGTTTTGCAAAACCTCAGTACAAAAACGTTTAGAATATGCCTCGGTTTGATCGATCTGTGTCGTGAATACAATTGGGTAGACATCGCCTTTGTTTATACAACTTCAAGTACGGATGTCAACTGTCGACATATTGCGCCAGTGATTGAAGTAAGCTTTAGAAAATAAAAAATATAAGCATCACTCTTTCAGAACCAGATAAAGATATTCTTTATTTTTAAAAAAAAAAAGACTTCAATTTTCAAAATGTGTATTCAGTTACCTGTCACTTATTGGAACAGTAACTACTGCAGTTAATGCATGCCACTTTTAATATTAAATGATCACGTGTCTGTTTCACTAAACAGAGGTCAACCACTTGGCGTTGCAACTTTGTGCCCTATTTTTACACAAATACTCTGCATGACTGGTAAGATCAATCAAGTACAGAGTGCATCTCTCCAAAATTAAAGCTAAATTTTGGTTTTATTCAGCATTATAAAACTCAGGACCAATAAGAACTTAGAACTTTTCTTTAATTTCTTCTAAATCAGTCAAATTCCTGAAAATTTAAAATTCCTAGTTCTTTCGTTACTTTGAGTTGGATAAGCAACAATTTTTTTAAAGCATTCCTGCCCCTAGCGAGCATTTTCTGTCCTTGCGTGACCTACGTAATTCTTCTACTGATTAACCTCCCGTTTTTAGCAAGACAGCAATTAGCAAGAAGAAAGTTAGGTGTTTCGGGCGGAACAACTTGTCAATCCTTTTAAAATTTTAAAGGTTGTTTTGCTAAACGTGTCAATGACGTCAACAGTATTAAAAAAAAGTACTTTGTTAACATAGTACCTCTCTTGATTGAATGCGATAAGAAACCATCACCGTGAATACATAAGACAGCGAAGTACCTGCCAAATTTACCTGTATTGCCAGTGTCAGGTTCAAAAAGGTGTTTAATGTTAAGTATTAAGAGCACCACAAATTAAAAATCAAAATAACAGAAACTTCTCCAATTTATAAGCTTTCCTTTTTGTGTCTTTAAAAATAACCGTAATCTAAACTTTCGTTTCCCGTTTATAAAAGTTACGATCTAAAGTAGAAAAAACTCCACATAACCTTTATCATACTTATACTTTGTTTCAGAACTTAAATTTTAAGACTTCTTTCTCCTAAAATAACATTTATAGATTCTGTCTTTTTTATTATAGAAATAACCCTGCAACTTAACTTTCCTCTTTCTAACTCTAAAAGATGCCTCAACGAGCTGTTCAAGTAATTATAAACAATTTCTGTCTTCTCTCCAGTTAACTAAGACTCAAGATTAATTCATTTTTTTAACTCCAGCGAGCACCGTTGTAATGAAAGAAAAAAAAGTGATTTTTTCTGCTCTAAAACTTCTAGTTAGAAAAGCTCAAAGATAGAAATCAAAATTTCCTATATTTCCCTATAAATGTTGCTATTTTCGTGCAGCTCAATAAAAGTTATAAATCTTGAGAAAGCGAAAGGTTTTCATACAGCACCATATTTAAGCAACGATCAATCGTCGTCAATTATCGTTGGTATGATACAACACATGTATATCCCAAGAAATCCATGCAGGTGTTACAAAGCAACGCACCATCTGACTGCTTGGATAGATGTTTTAAACCTGTGACTGATGAGCTACTGCAATCCGCTTATCCACTTTTTGCCATTTAAATGGCGTCTCTCTGTCAATGACGGATATGCTACGCTTGTCACTCTCCTTCATTTCACTTCTCGTAAGGCGTTCTGGAACTGTATAACACGGTAACAGCGCTGTATCGCATTCGGAGAAACTGCAATCAACAAATAGCATCCAAGACTGCACGAGAAACCAAAAAGCAACGTGAACGAGACATTCTGCTTAATCAAAAAAATTATGTTTACTGTGATTTAAAAGGAAAAACAACAGATAACTGTCTTTAACTATTTCATGAGCAAGTTTTTTAAGGGGGCTATAGCTGATTCTGTGTATAAGGTAACGTTAAGCTACAAGACGAGATTGGTTTTATCCAGCAGCACGGCAACAAATTTACGAATGAATGAGCTAAAAGAGCGAGCACGAAGTAAAGTTTGCACAACTGTTTATTACAGATTAATGTTAAAATCTTCGTATTTACCGATGCAATGTCAAAGTTTTGACGTTTTGACGGAAAGACATCTGTAATAATAAGTTAAGACGGTCTATTTGGAGCAAATATTAGTAAATACAAACGGCAATAACGCTGAATCATTTCAGTAGTATTCACCTGTCTTGAAACACCAGCAGACATGAGACAGTTTATGTCTGCGGTTTACAGGAATAATATGGCTAACGAAGAATACGTTTATATTACTACCGTTAATCACGATTTCACAGGTTTCCAAATTCATTTTAGAAGTTCGCTTAAAATTTCGCTGTCAGTTAAGAAAGTTGCATTAGCTATTTGTGTAAATAAAATCTGGCCCAGGAGTATAATCTACAAAATCGAATAAAAAAATCATTTATTTGATTTGCTACTTTACACTACTAATTGAGGATAAATTAAGGTGCGTCTTGGGATGATGGACTGGATGATGCTGTTGATGCAGCACAGAGGTACTTCCTTTTTCTGGAAGGAGTAAGTGTACCTGCTTCTTTTCAGAATTTTATTTTATTTTCAACAGTGAATGAGTTAGCAGCATACAAATGTTAAACTCAAAGCTTCTTTGTTTGAGAATCAATCTGTAGTACAGGTTTTTTGAAAAGATCAGAAGACGATTAAATAAATTTTAGCTAAAAGATTTGGACAATGAAGACGTGAAACGTTTTGAGCGTGAGATTATAAGACGTTCACGATATCCACCGTTCAACTGCACTAACTGTGGATCCGTAAAGATTTCACTTTGATTCTTCTCAAATTTATTGAGTTAAATAATCATCAGTATTCTGGTGATTTTCAATCCCAGAGATAAGTTGTTAGAATTATTTAATTAATACAGTACTGGCGACCCTCAGTAACATGTCAGTATGTATCACCATTTGGACTAACCAACTTTCAGCTATTGTTGTTCAGTTTAGAAAATGAAAAAAATGTCTTGTAGTTTTCCTTTGCTCTTTTACCGCTAAGAATGCACGTATTTTAGCCATCTCTTTATTCTTATTACCTGCACGATGCGGCTTATCTTTACGCAACTTTACTTGACATTGTTCTCCAAACAGACCCTACAGGATACGATAATGGAAAAAAAATTATGGACTGCAAATTTTTACAGCTGAAAGGTTCTGTTTATAAGAGGAATATTATCAGTGGAAATCAGGCTTAGTGTATAATTAAAAACGACCGTCGTAAAGTTGTTTTAATACACTTTGTCTGCTGTGGTTTCAAAACTTGAATTTTTTCAAACTGTACATCAAAGTTCTACTTAGTAACGAAGCTTTGTTTGCAACTGTTACTGTGTATTGTTCTTCCGTAAATGTAAAAGAAAAAGCAACAGAATACATTACTTTTGCTAAACAAGCAAATTATCTCTCCTGATCATTATAAATTTTAACCAAAAACTTTATTTGTAACTGTTGCTATGCAAAAAATACGACTAGCTTAAACACTCTGGTTTAAGAGGAGGGAAAGTTGCAACTATGAGTTTAAAAAAAGTATATTTTCTTCTGCTAAGCTAATAGCTGTTAAACTAAAAAATATTTTTGCTTTGTAATAATCAGGTGAGATAAACTATTGTTTACCCAATCATTGTAAAATAACTACTCTTAAAGTTTTTAAAAAAAAAGCACTAGTGTCGACCAAATCTAGAAGACGTTCTTTGCTTACTATATGATTTTACGACGTTAATTTGGTTGTTTAGCAACCGTGAAATTCCAGCAGTACATGAGGATTTCTGTAAGAAGATATCAAGACTATGCTGTTATCACTGATATACCTAGTTATCCAAAATTTAGGTTTAACTGGCGATATAATAATGCGCGAGAACTGTGTTCGTGACGCTTCGTTTTTTATTTCGGCATTTAATGCATCAGCTAAACTGCAACGTTTTTTGAGCATCAGTATACGACCAAATGGCACTGTAAGCGCTAACTGTTTTCTCGCTGGCTTAAAACCCATTAAGTAATATTCTTTTCTTTTTTCTAGAGAATTGACAAAAATTACGCAAGCGAGGCTTCATTTTGGGCACTACGTGGTGGTTCTCGACCAGCAAACAGTCCTAAGTGTGGATTTCGTCACGATCAGTGCAGTAACTTCACGTTTGCTTGGATTCTAGGCGGTGTTGCTTTAGCTCTTTTGGTCGCTGGCTTGGCAATAGCCTTATACTGTATCATTCGGTAACATAATACACGTTTTGAACCGGTTAGACGCATTTAAAGTAACTGGATGTTTTTACGATAAATTTTTTTAGACAAAAAATATTTATTAGTTAAAATATATATAGAAACGTTATAAACTTGAAAAAAAATTCTTTTCCAATTTTAAAAACATTGCAAAACAGGAAGTTTTCAAAGAATATAAAGTAGTCAAATTCTGTAAACTTGTAAATGTAGTATCAATAGAATGTGTAAAATGATAAAATGCTAAAGATATCATTTTTTTTGCTTAAAACCTAGATGTTATTTTCAGACTCCGACGTCTTGCAGAGTTAGAAATTAGAAAGTTATGGCACGTCGACTTTTACACTTTGGCCGCGCCAGAAATGGTGAATTGAATAGCAATTTCAAGAAATTCAAAGAAACCTTTAATGAAAATAAAGGTTTCAATTCTTGAACAGTTTCTCGCACTTTTTTTTTCCAGAAAAAAAGCGTTCGAGTAAGCCATGTGTCAATGAAGAGTGAAAGTGTCCATTCAACGGCTTCATCGCAAGCGGTAGACAACTTCACGACTGGATACGACTTGTATTTGCTGAATGAGGAAAAGGTTTTGGCAAAACCGTACAAGAGCTTGCAGAAGTTTCAGAAGATGCATTATGAACTTCTTAAAAATGTGTCTATTTTTCCAAACTGAATTTTGTAATGATTTTTTGCCATCACTTGGTCAACATTTTCAAATTCAGCAATATTTTCGCTATGTTGTTCTAGAAGAACATGCAGACATTCAAAATAACGTTTAACTTGTAAACTTTTAGATGAAACTGATAGTTCATGAAAACCTAAACACTTTTATTGGGTTCTGTATGAATAGCCCTAACAACAGTTTAGCGATATGGAAGTATAACTTTCGCAACAGCCTTAAAGTAAGTTAATCGACTGGAGTAGCCGTAATTATTCTGATCGTTAATCATAATTGCAACAGAAAATTGCTCTTCAAACCAACTTTAAGTAGAAGCTCAGGTTAAAACACTGATTTTAATGTGCCATAGATTATTCAACTACACTTCTTTCCGATTTTGTTTTTAGGATGTTCTTATCAATAAACCACCGACTAGTGATGACTTCTTTAAAGTATGCCTTATGAAGGATGTAATAAATGTATGTCTTCATTTCATTTTATATTGCTAATAAATATATATAAATTGTAAAAAAAAAAGAAAGGTCCATTAGGGGACACAAAACCCCTGAGATGATACAGCTGAGAATAAAAAAATTCATCCATAGGACTCAAAAATGAGGAAGTTGTATCAGAAGGACTTAATTGAATGTTATGCTGTGTTTCCTAGGGCCTGGTAGCCATCCATAAAACTCCTTTTCTAAAATACCACGGATGTTTAACGTCACAGTGCTGTTTGATCAATGAATGTTGGCAAGTGAAAATTTGTGATTATGGTATGATACATATGCAGCTTAATGAAGAGAAAAGCAATTCTGGTAAAAATTATACTGTTCTTGTTTATTAGTTTATGGTGTCACAAATAGATTAGTAATAAAACCTTTTACAAATTAATTGACAAACACTGTTAAAAATCCTAAACTGCTTTCAATCAGAGCTCTTATGGACTGCACCAGAACTGTTACGCAATAATGCGCAAGGAAGCAAAGAAGGAGATATCTATAGTTTTGCAATAATCTGTTCTGAAATTGCCACAGAGCAAACCGCCTGGAACGAAGTTGATGACGATAATGCAGCAGAAGGTAATTAATGACATTATCCGTTCCAATAGAAAGCATAACAAATTCTACTTCTGATAAATCACAGAAAAAAACTTGGTCTAAAAGACGGGTTCTTTATAATGCTGAGTTTTTGTCAAAATTTAGACATCATTTATAACGTTAAACGAGGTCGGACCCCACTTACTAGACCAAAACTAGAAAGCAATACAGAAAATTTCAATCCCGCGATAGTAAGTTTTAGTTTTATTTTATACTGTTTTTACTTTAAAACACTCCAGTAAGTTACTCGTTAATCTGATAACATAATTTTAAGATATTTTGCAAATAACTTTTAAGCTGCGATTAATTCGCGAATGTTGGTCTGAAAATCCTAATGACCGGCCTTCAGCTGAAGCAGTCAAGAAGGAATTCTCTCACATCAAGATGTCCAGGTGAGCCTCTCTGGCGTTTTTTTGACAAAAGGCAGTAAGCAATTAAAGTTTTCTCAGCTTGTTCATGGCCAAATACAGCCTTAAAAAAAAAAACAGCTGACAACGAAGAAAATACAGAGTACTGTGTGTGGCTTTAAAGGCCGCAATTTACAATTATAAAACCTGCTTGTTGTAGAACATACTTTTAAAAGTTTTTTTCTGAGTTAAAATTTGTAATATCTGAACTGGGGTGCTTAACAGAAGCTATTACGGTACATCAGTATTAATGTAGTGGTACATTCTTATCCGAAGCCTTTACATTTTTTCACTGCTAGTTGACTGTAAATTGCCCACTGTTTTGTTTAGTGTTTATTTTCTTTGATTCATTATTGGTGCTATGATATAACATATTTGTTCTTCACATAATACATTTTGAAAAAATACTGAATAAGAGGATATGACGAAGTCCAATACTAAAATTATCTCTTTTAATTTATAAAGAGTCTAAATATAAGCGGTCACAATTTGAAAACAGACTTAAAAATTTTAAAGTCCGCTTTGTTTTGCGTTATTTAATTCATTATCATCTTACCCCTATGGCTCCCAATCTCTCCTTCAAATGTTTTTTTTTTTCAGTAAAGGAAGTTTGATGGACCATATGCTCAGACTGATTGAAGATTATGCTCTGATTCTGGAGCAGGAAGTAGAAGAAAAAACGAAAGAGGCAATTGCAGAACGGGAAAGAGCAGACTTTTTACTTTATCGTCTTTTCCCCAAGTTTGTTACTTTATAAAGTACTCTATTTAATTCGCTTAGACCGTCATTAGGCCTCCTTACAGTTTAAACGAATAATTTAAAAAAAAGTTTCATTTCACTTTGGTTAAAACAGCAGGCAATAATTTTTAAATAAACTTACAAACCAAGTAAGTTTATCATGACCCTTGGACGTAGGATAATTTCAGAGAAGTCGCAGAAAACCTGAAACAGGGAGAACTGGTCGAACCCGAGCAATACGACGAAGTGTCCATTTTTTACTCTGACATTGTTTCATTTACAGTCCTTGCCTCAAAATGCTCTCCAATGCAGGTTCGAAAGCTGTTCAGTTAAAGTATCACCAATGAAAACCATACTAAAAAGATAAAAAACAAAAGTTTTAAGCCATT